ATGAGTCAATATTAATATTTAGATTAGAATGGCAGATTATAGGATTTGACTTAACTTGTTATGTACTTGCATCTTTTTTCTTATGCTGCAAATTTTTATTCTCTTAAATATGATTATTTTATTCTGATATATAATAATTTCAAAATAATATTGTTAATATCACTACCACACTATGATTACTGAAGTAAGCCATTTGAGATTTATTTGCAGTTTATTTAGCATGGGTCTTATTTGGAATATTCAGCCAGATTATTATATTTTAAAGTCACTTTAATTATTCTCTGTATGGTTCAGTCATCAACTCGATACCCACTTAGGTTCATTTGTTTTGTTTTGTATCTGATTTTTAGAGATATTTTCTTTTGATCTAATTCTATTTAATCATTTCATAAAACATGTATATGTTTCCAATGTCAAAACAATAAAACAGGTACATCCTGGCCAGGGATTAAGCTCAGTGTTACTACTGCCTGCCTCACAAGCCCAAGGTCCCAAGTTCAATCCCCAGTACCAAAAAACAAAAGCAAAAAAAAAAAAACAAAACAAAAAAGAAACCCAGGCACATCCAGAGAATTTCAGTTTCCATTTTCTAATTCCCCTATACTTCTTCTCCATACAGGAAACCATTTTCATTTGCTTTTAAACTATTATTGCTTTCATTTTAAAATATAGGCAAATGAGTAATTATGTCCCTCAGCCTGTACTACATAAAATATAGTATACTGTACATGATTCTACATCTTGCTTTTTTCCTCTAAATATATATTTCCTGTACATTATACCAAGAATCTATACAGAGATCTTCTTTATTCCTTCTTTATAGCTGTATAGCACTCCATAGTCTGGACGTACTGTGGTTTATTAAGCTATTCCTCTATTGCTCTAGTGTGTTTTTCTAGACTTTTGTTATTATAAACAGTAAATAATCTTATATTATTTTGCATTATTTACTAGTATATCTTTTAAATAGATTCCTAGAAGTAAGGATTTTTGGATAAAGGGTTAATTGCTATATAATTTTGCTAGCTACCACTGGGTTCTGTTCCATAGGCTTTATACCATTTTGCATTCCCATCGCTGGATACATTTTAAAGAGTGATATGGCAGTTTTACTTAATTTTTTTTAATACTTCAGAAATTATACATTTGGCACCATTTACATGTATGATTAAAAAATACTGTAGCACTTAATTTTGAGAGAGTAAAAAGCTCTTCAAAAAATGAACTCTTTTTAATCAAAAGACAAAACCTAACAAGTGCTGGTGAGGATGTGCAGAAGAGGACACACTTGCACACTGTTGGTGGGGTGGGAATGTATATAGCAATTATGGAAAAAATATGGAGAGTCCTCAAAAAGTTAAAAAATAGAAGTACCATATGTTCCAGGTATGCATCCAAAGGAAATATAATCAGCATTTTGAGGAGACATCTGCACTCTCATGTCCACTACAGCCCCTGTTAACAATAGCCAATCAATGGAACAAGCTAAGTATCCATCCACCACTGAATAGATAAAGGATATGGGGTATATATATATATATATATAT